CACGCTTCAGATCTGTCAACGAACCTGACAGTTGGGATGTTTCCTGGTTTGTCCTTAATGACAATGATGGCATTGACTTTCCCTTTAATCCCGACAAGAAAGGTGTACAATATTTTGCCACCAGAAATACATATTTAAGAAGTCTTGCATAACGTTTATTCTTAACATAACTCTTTCTCTGACAAAGGTTTCTTTATGTAAAGGGCTTTATTGATGGTTTTTGGAAACATTTGTGTAAATACATTTGTGCTCATTTCAGTTAGTGAAATGAGGGGCTGAAATTCTTAGTGTTTAGTTTCATAATGCATAATTCAATATTTCCAAGAAAATACGGGAAAAGAAATGACAAGAAAATCATTATTGGCTGTCAAGATTCTTAACGCTTCAGTAACGCATTACATTTTTACAATTCCCTGGTAATAAGACTTATTTTGACACTGGTGTCACTTTTAAAAAGCAAGCGATCAATGGAAAATTTATGCCAAAAGCTTGATTTTTTTTATTTTTTACATGTCATCTAGAATATATTTTCTTAAATGAACAAATTAACCAGAGCCTGCTGTATTTTAATGATGTTGATTTTTGTCTGACTGATACTGAAACAGTTGGTTGCACATAACTGTTAAAAAAAGTGCTTTAAATGCAAATGTTTTTAATTAGTAGTAATGCTTAATTTATGAGTTTGCTGTTTTCTTCTGTGTTCTACTGGCTTTTGGTAAATAACATATAATTTAAGAAAAATAATCACAACACTCTATTATGCTAAATTAGTAAAATAACTATCTTTCACTTTAACAACCCATTCTGTTGGTGTTGCATTTTCCTAATTATTATGCTGAGCCAGACTTCAAAGTAACGCTGCATAGCTGGATGAAATGTTGGAGCCAAAACTGAAATTGCTGCTTTCCTTTAAAAATGACTTTGGTTGTTTGATCGTTCAAACATATTTTGATGTATGGAAAAATGAGTGTAAAACATTTTGTTGGTGTTCCTTATGACACATTGTGGTTGCAAACTGGTCAAAAATACATTGTGTCATGCTTTATTTTGCAGTATGGCTTGGATCGAATTTTGGGGGAGGAGAAAAGTCTTGCTTTGCTGGCTAGAGCCATCGATCCCAGTCAGTCTGCCATGATGACCGAAGTCGTAAAGCTACTGTCAGCCATCTGCATTGTAGGCGAGGAGAACACGTACGTATCTTTCTTTCTACTTTCTAAATACAAATGTTTTTACACTGGAATATTGGATGCATTAAAAAAAAAAAAGAAATTAGTTACCTTTTAGTTCAGATATGACCTGAAAAACTGTTTTAATCAACAGACTATGTGTGTTTTTAATTGTTTCAATGTCAAATTGAGTTTTACAAATCAAAACTACAAAGAATATTTCCTGGAAAATATGCTTGTAGTTAGTCCTTTTTGAGTTGAAGGTGTAATTCTCTCACTGGAAAACCTTGGTTACATGTTAGAAAACTAAAGATTATGGTCGAAACCGCTGTAAATTAATGCTTTTATGCATTTCCTTCCACCTGTTTGCTCATGAGTTTTATATTTCTAATTAGTTTGGAGAAGGTTCTGGAGGCCATTACGACAGCAGGAGAATGGCGGTCCATTGAGAGGTTCAGTCCCATTGTTCAAGGTCTACGAGATCGCTCCATTCAACTACAAGTCAGTAAAAAACACTTTTGTTTTGAACTATTTGGGGACAAAACTTGATTATTATAAACATTGAATTGCCTCTATAGATGAAATTTGCAATATGAATAAAGGTGCTTTGCCTTTTAATATTTTTGAGGCAGCTTTTCATGTTTTCTTTGCCTATTTTATTCAAGGACTGTTTTTTAAGACTGTTTTAAAAATTTAAAGCAATATCCTAACAATATACAGGGTATAAGAATAGTCTCATTATGTAAGTGAATGCACGTGTTGCATCTTGTAATTGTAATCTTGACATTTCACTCCTTACCTTTTTCAGATGCTGGTTGTTAGCCATAAAACTGTGTTGAACTTAAGTTTTGAATGTGTACTTGGATGTCATAATTATGTTTTTGTGTAAATTGAGAAAGACATGAATATGGATGGTGCTTGAGGTTTAGATTTCGAACAAGTATTAAAACAAACTTGCACTGATTATGAATGTTTCAGCAATGCTTTGGCAGCACCATGTTCAGATCCCGGATAAGCCCCCAAATCATTATGGTACAAATGCGATAACTGGGGGGGAAAGGGTGGGTGAGGATAACATGAGAGATTATTTGAAAGTATTTTTTAACAAAACTAATCATAGAGCATAACTGGAAAAAAAAACCTTAGGTTGTCTGATAGTGAACAAGAGGTCACATGACAATCCTTACAGGTCGATCTCTTGTTTACTGATAGCACTGGCCAGCTCTCTCTAGTTACTAATGAGCACCAGCCTGAGAACCTAAACCCAAATTGAGGGCTGTAAAAATTATACACGAAATAATAATCCTCCTATCCTTATAATTTTTCATCACCAGATGCTTCCGCTAAGTATAAATGACCACTTTAGTGATCAGTTTAAGCACAGATGGGACAGAAACTATAAGCCTGCCCACTAATTCATCTACAGTGCTTGTGTTGACATCAGTCTGACATCATCATCATCATCATCACCATCAACACACAGACATCAGTGGACAGCTTGCAAGGGCTAAATGAAATGATGTGTTTCTAATGATTGCTGAAACTCTCATAGCCAGAAATAATATCCATTTAGCAAGCACCAGATTTTCAGCAGAGCCTGTCATTATTATCAGCCGTTATCCCTACAGCTAAGAAACACCCATGGAAAATTAGATAATAACCAGACAATATGATCAACAAGACTGACTAGATGGGCAGCATAACACATTTCTCTTTGTTCAGAAAACAATGATGTAGATACTCCCTTCTGACATGTCACTTTAAAATTATTTAAATTTGTTGTATAATATCTGCATTTTGAACCAATTGTTAAGCTGTGGCATTTTATAATTCTTTATTACATGAATACACCTGTTTAGCTGGTACAATGTTAAAAATGACTGTTAAAAATCTCTTGATCCTTATTTTTATGTAATCATTTCTTTTTTAAGTCTTACTAAACAAAATTAATCTTAATTTTGTGGCTGTGATGGCATACTTTATGATTAGTTTGCTGAAACTACTTTTGATTGGAGCAAAACTCTAGGAAGACTTCATGAGGAATAAGTCTAAGGAATCAATAGTAGGTGATGAAGAGGAAGGAGAGCATAATAGGCGATAAAAGAGAAAAGGACACAAGAAATATTAAGCCAGAGCTAGATTCAAGCTTGATTTGAAAAATGATTTTAAACTTGTGTTAAATATACAGGATATATCATTTTTATAGTTGGTGTGGTTTGTTGTGATTAGAGATGGAGTATTGCTGTACTGCAAAAGGAATTATTATCCATTTAAAAATCTATTCCCTAAATAAAGCCCAGGTCATAACCAAAGTTTTATTATTTATTTAGTTCATTTTATGACTTTTCCGTCCAAGTCATAAAACATACACTTTTATTTTATGTATTGATGGTGGGAATTCCCAAAAAGAATTATGCTACAGTTCTCTGATATTTTATATTTTTATTGGCCAATTATTTGTTTTAAAAACAAAGCTGTAAAATGTAACAGTTAACTAAATTGCTACATACACAATTACCATTACCACTGTATTTGTAAAGCAACTTCAAATTACAATGAGTTTTAACAAAGTGCTGTCTAATAAAAGCCACACAATAAAACAAGACGATTTATACACAAACAGAATATACTATACTATACTATACTATACTATATTAAAAGCGAAAGAATAAAAATGGGTCTTCAAGCAAGATTTGAAAATGGAAAGGGAGGGATCCCGTCTTATCTGAAGGGGCAATGCATTCCAAAGTCTCGGTTCTGACACTAAAAGCTCTCCTCCCTGAATTTGCAGTTTACCATTGGTACCTCCTGCAACATCTGACCAGTTGACCTTAGTGAACGGGACTGGACTGTTTTAAGAGGTCTGAAAGATAAGAAGGTGCAGAGCCAAAGAGCAATTTAAAACTTATTTAGAAAAAGTTTGTTTTCCATCCGTTCGTTTCGTTCGTTCAATCGTCCGTCCGTCCGTCCATACATCCATTCTCTTCAGCTTATCTAGAGTTGGGTCATGAGGGCAGCAGCCCAAGTTGAGAGGCCCAGCCTTCCCTCTCCCCAGCCACTTGGGCCAACTCTTCCAGGGGACTCTGAAGGCGTTCCCTGGCCAGCCCTGAGACATAGTCCTTCTGACTTGTCCTGGGTCTCCCTTTAGGCCGCCTCCCGGTTGGATATGTCTGGAAAACTTCACCAGGGAGGCGTCCAGGGGGCATCCTAATGAGATGCTATGATGCTACCTATATTGTGATATTCCATATGAAATATAGAGACCTAGTCTTTTTTTTTATATTCTGACTTTATCTTAATTTTGATTGTTTAGTGTTTACAGAACACTTATTTTTTGAAGACGAGTACCCATTCCCAATGTGTCCATCCACCGTACCATGATGTTTGATGGTTTCAAAGTATTTAAAAATAACAACAAGAATTTTGTGATGCAACTTTTACTGCAAAGTTAAAATTGCACTTTGAAGACAGATTGTTTTCAAAGGCTGAATGCTCTGGGAAAAATAGGTGAGTTCTATCAAACTGACAATGATCCTTAGGGCTGCTGAATATTTAGTGTTGCTGCACCTTCTTCACACATGAGTAAATTTCCTTTTTTCTGATCAATAATTGATTTTTCTGTTACCTTGTCTGGTAGAAGAGTCACAGGACGCCACAGTTCCCCGGGTGAAAAACTGCATCCTAAAGCGAGAGTTTGCTCTTAAATTGAGTGTTAGTTAATTTTGTGCGTATGGGTCTGGAGTCGTTGCATTAATATTAAAATCACCACCCTTAGTTGGTGACTGGAGAAAATAGGCATCCATTAGTTATGGTCCTCTGCTTCCAAGGGACATAACTCATTTAAAATGCATGCCAGCATTCTTTTCATCAACTTCTGGAAGAAGAAATCCGTCATCTCATCCTTTGGTTCTTACCCCCCCACCCCACCCCCCTCCCTCCCTCCTTCCTCCCTTTGTACCCTTGGTGTTGCAGGTGGCGTGCATGCAGCTTATCAATGCCCTGGTAACATCGCCTGATGAGCTGGACTTCAGGCTGCACATTAGAAATGAATTTATGCGCTGTGGACTCAAAGAGATATTGCCGGTAAGCAAAACATAACCCAAAGCACACACTCACACACACACTAAAGCGATTCTCACATTGTATTAATATTTAAATGAGTTGTCCACTTCAGTGAAATATTGTCGAATTGCTCCAGCAAATAATTTATGAAACGGGGAGGAGAGTTTGCACGTCCTCTGTCTGTGCAGCAGCCAGAAACCAATAAAGTTTCTAATGTCTTGCCTAATAATCTTTCAACTGGGTTTATACCATCTAGCTAACATGTTTATCTTTTGTAAACAACGTTGGTGTTGCTGCTAATAAAAAAATAATAAATTAAAGCGAAAGGTTTGTGCCCAGACCTTCATATCATTGTGAAGAATTGTGCTCGAGTCTACTAGTTTCTTTTTTTTTTTTTTTATATATATATATATAAGATTTTAGTACAACTGTCATTGATGGTCTGGAGCATTTCTTGTAAAATAATTTTCATTTTTACTTCTGTTTTAGAACATAATAGAATAGACTTTGTTAATCCCACGATGAGGAAATTCACCTGTTAAAGTTGCAGTGTGTAGTTTCCTGGCGCTAGAGGGCAGTACATTCATTCCAGGGAAGTTTTACACCATGTTGCTGTTGACTGTCGCTAGTTTAAAAAAACATTACGGTAAATGTTACTTGTGGAGCAGAAAGCATGCAATCTTGGTGTGATTCCTCAGACTTTGATAGTCCTGCCGCTGTAGTTTTCAGATCAGCTCGGGGTCCTGCGCCAGCCGATGCTTTCATCACACTACAGCCAAAATAAGAGTTTAGCAGTTTTGTTATTAAATTCATGTTGCTTACTGCCTAAATATTTTAGAACGTGGTAACTTAATTCCGTAAGTCGTACATCCAGGCAATCATCTAGGGTGACGTCATCGACAAGTGCTGGACCTCGAGCTGGCGAGAAGGAAAAATGGCGTTTTAATATGCCGTCCGCCAAAGACGCTAGACCTGTACTTTATGTACTTTAGACCCGATTTTTATGGTTATATTTTATGAAGCTGCCAATATTTTTTTAACAACTTGAGATCATTTAATTCACTTTCAACAGCATTTTGTTAGCTATATCCAGAGATTAATGGTAAAAATACACATTGTCACTTTAAGGCCTGGAATATACTTGCTGTTTAACGTCGTGTTGGTGCAGGCTGCGTCTTTGTTCTCATACTTGCTGCTGCACGCCACTGCATTGCATGTAGTAGTGGTGTGTTCCACTAGGGTGCACTAGAGAACCAGATTCGTGGCTGCAATCAAACAAACATGGTGTCAATGAGGAGCTCACTAACTGGTTAATTTTGAGATCATGACTGGAGCGGTTTTGTAGGTGGTGTGAAAGACCTCTAAACCAGAGACGGAGTCACCATGGTGAGCGTGTCTCGCTCGTTTTGCCAACTTCACCTAATGGTTACTCATGCATTTCAGCGTTCGGACGTGTCACTTTAATTTTGGGGACGCGCACAAACATTGCTTCAAATCAATGCAAGTAATGCGTGGCAGCCATTTTAAGCTTGCGTTGGCATCGTTAAACAGCAAGTATATCAAAAAAGAAAGAAGAAAAAATATACTACAGGTAAATACACACAGGCAGAAGGATATTATTGTATCATTCAACAATTAGAAAAATGAATAAAAGTAGAAAATTGAGCTTCCAAAAAGAAACAGAATAAAGGACGCAGGCATACAAATGTACATCCAGGTATTGCACACATACTGAACATTTTGAATCATTTATGTTTCTTCTCTAAACACAACAACAACAACAAAACTTATCCTTTCGTAGCAATTGATGACCATCAGGAATGAGGCCCTTGACATTCAGCTGAAGGTATTTGAGGAGCATAAAGAAGAGGACATGATGGAGTTCTCTCACAGATTGGAGGACATCAGGAACGAACTGGAATATCCTTTGTCCAAATTCCTAAACAGCCATGTTTAATCCATGTTTTATTCAGTGTCTGTTCGTGCAAATTAAGGTGGAAGCTCTCATGGACAATTATTCACAAATTTTTAAAATGTGATAAGTGAAAATGCAAATGTGTGGTTCTTTAATCTCTTGCTATTTCACTAGCTGTTGAATTCTTTTTTACATGAAAAAAAAATCGTGTTTCCATTAATCTGCAAGTCCTTGACTCTTTGCACTGATGTGGGGGATGTGTTCAGCATTGTGCAGAGCCTGGTGAAGGACAGCAGTGCAGAGCCCTATTTCCTCTCCATCCTGCAGCACCTGATGCTCGTACGCAATGATCACTTGGTCAGGTAAAAAATTAGCATCTTACAGCACAAGCGTTGCCAAGATTGAAGATATCTGGTCAAGATATATGGTTTTTTGGAGGTCCGACTCCTTCTGCTTTTAGCTCTCTCAATGACTTTGGGTAACAAAGAGAATGCTCTCTCTTTCATCTTCCAGCCATCTACAGCAGCCAAGGCTCTAGAGCATTTCTCTTCTCCTATTAGTGGTGCTTTTCAAAGGCCTATTTTATGTTGGTTCACTCACAGCTGGGTGTGACCTAAACCTTAGCATGATCAAAAAGAGGAGCTTTTATCTCAAGTGTATGAACTGTATCACCAGCCGTTTTTCTCCCACCCAAAAAACTACACTTTTCAAGCCCACTGCTCTGTCTCATTAATTATTTTTCATCGAATAATTATGAAATGCTAACACTGGTGTTTCTGACTGCCACAGATCGTGCCGTGAGAACACTGGTATTAGCTGAAGGAAATTCAACACATCTCTGCCCCCTGCGTTCAGTTCAGCTCACGAGTATTTCCATAATTTTTATACTCATGGGGTTTTTAGGCATCCAATAACTCACTCACCCACTCACTCATCTTCTATAATCCTTATTCCTCACTTGGTTTGGAGGCAGCTGGGGCCTATTTCCAGTGGCCATTAAGCGAAAACCAGGGGACAAAAAGACAGACAATGTCCATCACAGGGACAGACGGACACAAACACGCCCTTTTCCAACAGCACTACTCAGCGTGACTCGTATGAGTGCGGTTCAGCCTTTTCCAACAACACAAGGGGTATTTTCCCCTAACTTTTCAGTACCTGCTTCTTTGTGGTTCCTAGCAAGCTGACCTGGTCCGAAACTGCAACGTTAACGACTGTCAGCCTGATTGTTCCAGAGCTTTCTGCCTCGCTGCTTGCTGCGATTTCTCTTCTAGAGTGATAAAAAGCCAGAGACTGAGCATAATGTTCAAGATCGCCGCCATTGTTGTGCTGTGTTCTTGTGACATGCAGATCACCCCACACAATGTTTACTGATCATCTCGCACTATTTTGGTCTCGAGTAAAGATCAGAAGTGTCAAGGGTCCACCCATCCCACTTTTTTTTTTTAACTTTTTGTCAGAGTTTGCAGGGTCAACCAAATACACTGAGGTGAGCTGTGTTTGACCGAGTAGTGCTGTTGGAAAAAGAGCATTAGGGTTGTGGTATCCTTGCTGTTTAACGACACGAACGCATGTTTAAAATGGCTGCTACGTGTTAATTTGAAGTGTTTGTGCGTCCCCCCCCCCCCCCCCCCCCCCCCCCCCCGAAATTAATGCAATGCATCGTGTCTGAGCGCTGTAATATACATGTAACCAGTAGGTCGAGTTGACAAAATGGGCAAGACACACACCATAGTGACCCCGTCTCTGGTTTAGAGGTCTTTCACACCATCTACGATACCGCTACCGTCTTTTTTTCTGTCGTGGTCTCAAAATGAACCAGTTAGTGAGCTCTTTTATCGACACCATGTTAGTTTTGGTTGCACCCACAAACCCGGCTCCCCGTAGTACTCTCCAGTACTACATGCAGTGCAGTGCCCTGTAGCAGCAAGTGTGTGAACAAAGACCTGCTGCCTGCGCCAACGTGAGGTGAAACAGCAAGTTTATTCTGGCCCTTAGAGTCACTAATCAACCTGCTCTCAGATGGTTTGCAGCCAGTCACTACGGGGCATATCCTTTATGTTCTTGACATTACAGTATGAATGCTGATGGTTAAATCTTTAAAGGGTCAATGAATCGGATACATGTGAAGTTTTATTTATTTTTTTTTTAATGTTATACAGTTCACATTTAAAGCATTGGCTTTTCTCTGTATTTTTCCTGTCTTCTACCATCATGTCATCACCCACTCAGGTGTTCTGCACATGCTGGATCTAGTTCCACTATTTGGACTCTCAACTTAATCTGATGCTTTAGTTTATTATATTAACTGGGGATGTAACGGAACACAGGGGAGTGTTGATTCGTTTCTGTTCGGCCCGTTTTGGTTCGGTCCACTTGCGTAACATTTCGGTTTCGGTTTCATTTAAATAAAGAATAATTATTTGCGTAATTTAAGTGCAGCGGATAAAAGTTTTTGGCTAGTTTCCACACGAACGCTGTATTGATAAATGATAAATGATAAATGATCCGCACTGGTATAGCACCTCTCAGAGTAAGGACTCCAAAGCGCTTTACACTACAGTGCATCATTCATCCATTCACACACACATTCACACACCGATCGTGATGTGCTACAATGTAGCCACAGCTGCCCTGGGGCACACTGACAGAGGCGAGGCTGCCGAGCACAGGCACCACCGGTCCCTCTGACCATCACCAGCAGGCAAGGTGGGTTAAGTGTCTTGCCCAAGGACACAACAGCAGAATTCTCTGTCCGGAGCCGGGATCGAACCTGCAACCTTCCGATTACTGAACAACCCACTCAACCTGTTGAGCTACTGCTGCCCCACATATTGAGTGACGCATGATGGCTGCACGCGCCCGATTTCAGTTTAAAAAATGTGATCTGCAAATTCTGATCAACGCCTTTCAGAGCGGATCAAACCAGCTGGCTGTCACTGCTACTGTGGAACCTGTAGAGACACTGAATGGAGCGTCGCTTCGCCCCTCCCTCCATTCTCTCACACTGTGCAGGCACGCAGTGGCAAAAATGTAAACAAACCGATCTGCTGAACTTTCCCCCGGGACAGTTGATGTAAAGTTTTCATCCTACAATGAAAAATACGGCACGTAGGAAGCTCGTTATTTCATACGAGTTTTAAAGAAGAAACTCTGGGCGGTGTGAGGTGAGGATTTAAGGCTCGCTGCAGAAGTAAAAACATGGAGCATCAACAGTCAAACACAACACATGTCTGTATGACACTCATAGCTGTGCAAATAAGCTGTGAAATAATCATGCATCATGTTAGATCAGCAGCCTGTGGTGACACCTGGTTGTACTCACTATAGAGCCACTTTAGATTAAATAAATAAATATAATAATAATATACCGAAAAATAATCGAACCGAGCCCTTCAAACACTGAACCGAATACGATTTTAGCGTACCGTTATACCCCTAACGTATGCAAACAACTGCTTGTAGGTTTGAATTGACTCACAAATCCAGAGATGATTGAAAATCCCTGAAATTCAGGCTAATGACTGCAGCTGTGCTGTAAGATTGGCTGTGATGGCATTTAAATGAGGGCCAGTTGTTCTCACTTAGTTGTTTTTTTTTCCTCCATTATAATACCAGGACTAACCACACTATTTGTACACCCTTAACACAAGGATTATGTTGTGCCTCTTTTGTCAGTGACACGCAGCCTTGTTATTTAGGCTTTTAGGGTTTTGGTCATGATGGCAAATCGTTTTACTGACAGAATTGCCAATTTGTTACTTTCCATTTCCAACGAGGGACTAATTTTGCCTCGAGGATGAGCTTAAGGTTTTCCCAAGCCAGTCTTTAGAGGGTAATATCAACACATTCATTCGACCAGGTTTTAATGGAGAACGTTGTTTCAAGTCATGATAAATGAATCCTGCCAGAGGAATTAGCAGATTCATAAGTTAGAACACCATCAGGAGATCATCATCATACATATGTGATAACATGACAAGCATTTTTTTCTTATGTGTTCTAAAGTTTTAAAATGTTTGCTTTTATTTTCACCACTTGTACGTCAGACGTATCACTGAGTGGGCTAGTTTCAATGAACTGTGTATCGTAACATTTCATAGTCCACTTTGACCAAGGAATCCACAGTCCTCAAATAATGACAAAGTTCTTGATAAGTGATGCGCTGGAATTAAATCAAATGTTTCTGTCTTCGATATGGCAATACTCTCCGTTAGCTCATCCCTGAGCATGGAGGGTTTTTTCTGTCTTATATCTAGTCTTAGCTTTGTGTTAGAATTGGGACTCACGGCGTTGTGCAGAGTCTAGCAGATTGCGGTTGCTTGCTTAGCATGGGGATGGCTCTAAAGACTCTGACATAACAAGTCAGTGATTTGATGCAAGTTGCTGGGTTCCTTATTTGGGAAACTTTTAATTAATTGACATAATGAACTAAATTCAATTGGAATGTTATTTTTTTGTGAAGTGCCTTGAGACGACTCTTGTCGTTATCTGGCGCTATAGAAATAAACTGAACTGAATAGTTTATGTCCAACTTTTATTATCGCTGTTATTCCTGGCACTGCATGCCATCTGCAGTTAAAATAAAATATAACTGTTTTTAGTAAGAATATTAAATATTCGACAGTGACTGCATTCCTCAATTTACTTTACCATAAAATGATTAGTCAAATTAGTACCATCTATCCATTGGCGCAATCAAAACTACAATTAAAACAGTTTAGATGGAAAAAAAAGCTGTTTAAAATATTAATAAATTAAGATACAATTGTACTTTAACTTAATTTTAGAAGAGCATCTGGCTCTCATGGTGTTTGCTGGAAAAAAAACCTTGAACAAATTTAGTTGAGGACCCCTGCCCTAGAGCATTTGGTTAACTTGGGACAAAGAATACGTGTCCATATATAGTTTAAAGTCATTATATACTAACATGTAACTGATGAGCAGAGTTTAAATCATGGGGGAGCCAGAGGAGACCTGGCCTAAAACAATTCCCATGGGGCTACCTCAGAAGCCCGTGTGTAATCCGAGCCCTGGCTTTGAGCATCTTATGCATTACCAGTCACGGGTGTTGACAGTTTTAAATGCAATTGTGACTTAAAAGTGAGTGATATTAAATAAGTTTCTTTACATTTCAGTTCAGTTCAATAAAAGAGAGTCTCACGGTCAGGATCATAGCTTCACTTAAACATATTATTGTTTTTACTACAACAGGGCCATACGCTTTTTTATTTTTATTTTTAGATGCATGTATTGTTTTTCACACTGAATGACGTGTTTATCTCATCTTCACTCCCAGGCCCCAGTACTTCAAGATCATTGATGAGTGTGTTTCTCAAATCGTGCTGCACCGCAGTGGCACCGACCCCGACTTCACTTACCGTAAGCGCCTAGATGTCGACTTCGGCCACCTTTTAGGCAAGTTTAACACTCTTGTTGTTTGATGACATGAATATTAAAATAATACAATCAGAAAAGCTTTAATAACTTATTCACAACAATGATTTGTTTTCAGAGGTGTGTGTGGACAAAGCTCGGGTGGATGAATATGAACAAAGAGCTTTAGATCTGGCACAGAAGGCAAGTATTAACAGGAAAAGTGGTACTAAATAATTAACAATGTTGGTTTTATGTGCACTGTAAATGTATTTGAATGGAATGCAATTCTTACTGGACTAAATCTAACCTGCATGATTAAGCATTGAATGTATTCGTGTCATCAATCTGTTCTTTTATTTTAGTTTGATGAGGAATTCTTAAGCAGGCAGGAGGCACAAGCTCAGCTGGTGAAGTGTGAAGAACAAATATCGGAACTCCAAGCAGAGTTGCAGGCCTTCAGGTCCCAGGTATAAAATGTGCTCAATATGTCACGGTTTCACGGTCTTATTCTTTTCCAGGATGTGAGAAGTTCTTGATGTAATCACTCTACAAAGCCCTGTAAATCTAGCATAGCATTGCAATTCAAACCCACCCACCCCCCCTTTTTTTTCATTATGAGATGTTCTTGTCTTTAGGGGTGCGGTATGGGAATGGTGGTGAGGGTTTTATCCACTGGACCCTGCAGTTTGGTTTGACATGGAAGCTGCTCTGCTGGCTAGCTGACACTAAGTCTAATGAGAACACTGACCGGTCCTCCATGTTGGCCATTTCTAATTCTCTGATCTCTATCCCATAAGAGGAAATTGTTCTAAAAGCAATTTATTCTGACAACCCCTTCAGCCTCAGCCCCCTCCCACCCCCTCAAATTACTCCAGAGAGTTACTCCCACACCCTGGCACTGCAAGATAACTACACACTTGGAGAGGGGAAGAGAACTTCCCTTTTTTCTCATGATAATTTTTCAATTTCAGAGCACAAACACAGAGTGAATACTCAAATAGTACTTTGGTTCAGATGGTGATGGTATGTTTGGCCAGTGAAGGTACACAGACATGCACACTTTGTTCCTGCTTCTCTGCCCATCCAATTCTTTTCAGTCTTATCCTCTCCAGCATACGCATGCATGCTCCTGAATTTAGTGGAAGAGATTTTTTTTTAATCTCTCTATAGAGACAGAGGAAGAGAACAGACCCATGGCTGACCTTCAGTGTGCATCTTTAATCTAAAACTTGTACAGTACATGGATCAATGAGCCATTTGCACTCTGATACAATTTACAGAGCTTGTAGGTCCAGATACAATATTAGATTTTATACTTAAGGGGCAAACATATGCTTGTGTGATGTGAACTGAACGGGGACTTAAAGGAGCAATATGTAAGAATTCAACAGTGAAATAATCACAAAACAGTCTAATGTCTCAATCATGATGGAAGGGAGGTTACAATGAAATATGTTTCATTCTCACCCGGCTGGGGGGTTGCCAGTTTTTCTAATAAAAAAAAAAAACTAAAGAGGGACGTAGTTCTGGTTTTGTAGCGCTGTGAGGTTGCTGAGTCTACGCTGAGCTAACGCTGCAGTGCCAGCATTTATTATTCAACAACAGCAGGCAAAAAGCTCCAGAGTTGTTTATAGAACCATAACCAGTAAATTGGAGAAACCCAAGTTATTTATTGTACCCCTGAGAAGCCACAGCATCTTTATGTTTTACTCTTAATATTCAGTGAAGTAGGCTAGAGGCTAATGTTGAGTTAGAGGCTAAAGTTTAATTAGAAGCAAATGGTTGGCTATATAAATATCTCAAGCTACTTTTTCAATGACCAACAACCTATTATTACAGTGAAATGTATGTGTGAAGTGAATAATGTGACAATGTTGGCGTTTTACTTCCTTAAATAAGTCGTTCAGAACTATAACAGCAAGACAGCAAACAACCGCAGTTCCTCTAATGTCTGAGGCGTATTACCGTAGTGTAGTAGGTTCTCCCTACCATAAAACAATCGCAAGTGCTAACACCAGACCAGACATAAAAATGTATTTATCCACTTATCAACTTAATGTTTTTGACTCGTCTTCATTTGTCATCCAGAATCTTTTGGTGCTGATCTGGAAATTGACAACAGGAGAAATTGGCTGCAGTACCCAAATTTGACCACAGGATGTCTTTCTAACTTCATTCTTAGATAGTGCACCTTTAATGAGATAATAGTATTTACTTAATAGGATTCACCTATGTGTTCTGCAGCCGACTGGTTGTTTAATTTCAGTTACTTTGGTTTGGGCACTACATAAGAATATTGAGTTTACTGGGTAAAATGTCCGTCTAAAAAGTCTTATTGCATTTAAAATGACGTTCCCAGAAATGTTCAAATCAACTAAATTTTCTATGAGGTTATTGTATCGCTAAATTATTATTTAACTATATTACGTTTAATACATAACAATTATTTAACTTGCCCAGCATGCTTTGAGGTTTGCTGAGATGAATCAAAGCCATCTGTGTTATTTTGTTCTTTTCTTGAATCCTCCAAAGGGACTACAACCAAGAACTAATGAAAACAAGCATGGTTCAAAAATTTTGTTTTTAAGAGTTTGGGATTTGGAAGTTGGATTGGCATGAAGCCTGAAGCTAGGCCTTGGGATTTGTTGACTAAAATTTGGCTTTGATTTAAAAATAATGAGTTTTGGGTTCTAAAATAGGCAAATATGATGCTGTAAAAAAGCTTTGATCTCTGCCTATTATTGTTGTTTTCCTGAAAGGAAAATCATTGTTGTTATTTTCTTAAATAAATCTGTAATTGTTGCTGTTCATTCTAAACAACAACCTGTATACACATGCTTTCTTGTTTTGTTTGTGCCTGTTCAGTTTGGAGCTGTGCCTCCACTCTCAGCCAAGGGTGGAGCTCCATCATCATCTTCACCTTCATCTGGGCCTTCAACCCCTGCTCTTGCACCAGGGGTGCCAGCTCCCCCTCCTCCCCCTCCCCCGCCCCCTCCTCCTCTTGGATGTCCACCTGCACCACCTCCACCTGGAATACCTCCTCCATTTGGTGCTCCACCTCCACCTCCTCCAGGGTTTTGTGGTGCTTTTGGCTCACCCACTCACCACACACTGCCTTTTGGCCTCAGGCCTAAGAAGGAATTCAAGCTTGAGACGTCCATAAAGCGCCTCAACTGGTCAAAGGTAAGACTACACAGCGTGGTGATTAAAAATAAAATTCTGCAGCATGTTGTTCAGCATTATACTTAGTTAAATAGAATTGGACAACTTAAAACATTTGTATTTTTAGAAGAATTTAGGTATAAGATATATATTTTTTCCAATTTAAAGGCACATTTGGCAGTTTTGCTTGCTTGTAGCACCCCCTAGTGTCTGCTATTCTCTGGTTAAAGCAAAAGTGAAACTCCTCACTGTGCCTTCTTCTTTTTAACACCTTAATCTTATTGCTGAAACGTGTCCTCAGCCTTCATTAGTTTCTACAGGAGTGGTTCATCACTAAATAAAACAAATCACTGGTGTTCATGATCTAAAAAACATGCTGGAAACTTGCTGGAATCAGACTGCAGATCCATCATGTCAGCTCCACTCCACAGCTCCCTCCATGAGCAGGTCTGGCAACTCTGAAGCTGCAATTTCTGTATTCTGGCCACAGAGGGCAGTGAGGTCTGAGTGACATTTCATTACCCTGTAAAGGGTCATTTTAGCACATACTGACTCAAGAAAAATATTTAAAAACATGAAAAAGTTGCAAAGTATCCCTTTAAGTTGTGATTTACAAAAACTGTTGTGGCCACTTTTCACTTTTCCTCTACTTTGTTCCTGATGTTTTTTTTTTTTGGCAGCACCTGAATAGTCCAGATGTTTTCTAAGAATTCAACAACATCTCTTTTACTTTTGTGCCAAGCCAATAAGAATTCAGAATAACAGATGATCAGATGCTTATGTCGAAGCGACCTCAGTGGTATCTCTACACATGTTATTCTCTGCAGGGCAGTATTAGAGAATAACCACAAGTGGCAGTACTTCTTAGTTTGATTAATAATTTACTCTCTGATTTATACCAATGCAGGTGTTTAGCAAACTATAACATATGCTTGATACTACAAGTGAACCTCGTAGAACGCCACAAAAAGGACCTGTCATGTGGTCTGACTGTAGGAGACATATGGCCAGGCTTGATACAAGCTGTTCTGGACCTTCTGTGAAACACGTCTGATACAAAACTTTCTCAGTAGCTGTTGTATTATGTCCTGTTTTAACAATGACAGGAGCTTTTGTTTAATATTCTCTTGCATTTTCACCCAAAATGGGTTCAAAACCTACAGTGTAAAACCAATTGGATTAGAAACCAAGTATGGCAACCCAACCAACTTGTTTAATTTTAAAATTTTAACTTCTTTAAAGGCTTTTTTCTATACGGTCCAGTCCTAGTTTACAAGTAGGTTATTGGTTCTTATTGAAATAATTTAATAAGAAACATCTCGACAATTCACCAAAGCTGTTTTTACTTTAGATTTTTTTAATCCAATTTCTTTCCCCTTTCATATAAAAATACATTTTTCTCATTCCAGTTCTTTTCAAAATTCTCAAAAAATGATCTGTCATTCAAATTTTGTCCCCCCCCCCCCCCCATCAAGTATCTTGTTGCTGAAGAGAAAAATCTTGCTCTAAAGTTCTATTTTAGATTCAAATCAGCCAACATATTTGTACAGGTCACAGTTTTCTCCTTGTTCCTGTTGTGAACCCATGCATGATTTTGGCAGTGTGCTTTTGATTGTTACTACGCTTGAACATTTCCATTTTGCTACTCTTCTGGAGCGTGATCCCGTCAGATTGTATTCCTGTGTGTTCGCAGGCATTCCTGACACATTTGTAAATGTCATCTTTTGCTACTTTGCTCTGTCAGAAACATGCATGCACTATGATGATCTTGGCCATATCCATTCCTAACATGCTGTGCTCCGTCTGAGCCACAACAATTGCATCTTGATTTCATCCGACCAACAGTTGTGCAAAAGATTTTTATCATAATTTTTCCCTCTCCCTGTGACAATAAGGCAGTGTCCATCAAACCCTGAAAGTAAAAAAGAAGAAGAAAAAAAAGGTGTCTATTGAAAGCATGGTGCAACGTCTAAAACCTGCTAGATTTTTTAAAATCTTTCTGTAAACGACATTGATGCTCCTGGGGAAAATACAAAACTACAACACTTTTTTTCTCACTGACCCAACTTTTGGGCCTGGGATTTCATAGCTGCTCTTTTCTGCTTTTGTAGTAGCCAAATCTTCCCATTTTATGTGACTGATGAAAATAAGATATATGAAAATTAGCTAGTGTCTGCATGGTTACAATAATATTTACCTTAAATAGCACCATACGCTTATTTGGGTGTCCTACTGGATTGCAGTATGACGAGACATTTTGGTGCTTTGGTTCAAACAGTTTCATCTCTGTTGTACATTGTAAAATGAGTCTTAGCTTTGGTGTCTATTTAGGGTTGAAATGTAAAGGGTAGGCTGGGATCTTCAAAGAACCAGCGGGGGGGGGGGGGGGGGGGGGGGGGGGTTCATTTTGGGGAAGTTCCCAAACGGACTCTGAATAATTCAACTGAGCTGAAGGACTTTCCTTCTTTTTGCTGCCAAACATTTAATCCACAGATCTCATTTTCATCTTTTCTTACAGTACTTTAGCTACAAATATTATTCAGTTTATTTTGGGTTTATTGATCTAAAGCTCTCAACAGATTCAAACTTTTTTTTCTGTGCAATGAGTTGGAAATCAAAAGCCATATTTATTTATTTTTGTCTCCACTCTTTATACTATGACTTTGTTTGGGTGCTTTGATTTATGATCATTATGAAACGTGGTTGTGTGTTTTCAGATTCGTCCCCAGGAAATGTCTGAAGGCTGTTTTTGGGTCTTGGCAGATGAGGACCAGTATGCAAAACCAGAATTGCTCAGCAGGGTTGCTCTTACTTTTGGCTCGCATCGAACAGGTTTGATTCTTACTTCATTCAAATATCTGTATTTGTGTTTTTTAATGTCCATTTGGACTTGAGAAGATCTGGTTATAATCAGCTGTCCATGTGATTTTTTTATCTTATTCTTACAAAATAACAACCCTCCTGTTCCTTTGCTCTTCCTTATCTCTTCCCATTCACGCTGGCTCGTGTGCGACTGCGGGGATTTGGCCACAAGTGCTGGTTCTAGATGTAGAAATGACACGGCTCTTCAGTAAAGCACAATCGTTAAACCTTGCCGTAAAATTCCCCGCTGTTTCAAGTTTAGACAGAGGTCTTGAGCATACTAAATGAATGCTGACTGATTTCTCAGCGTGATAAAACACCACACAGTAACAACCTCATACATCAGTATGGCTGGTAAGACCTGCAATATTCATGTACGAGATTGTTGGACTGATTAAAGCCAGAGCAGGAGGTAGCAGGAGATGTTATCACTTTTGTCCTCCCCTGTTTGGTCTATTAGTCCCATCACTGATGATTTATTCACGTCTTGTGTTTTCTTTCTTGTCACCGCCTCAGCTCGGTTATGCCAACTTGAATTATTCATCCAGGTGTTATCTACCTGTCACAACTCTTTGCCGCTGCTCTCAAGGCACAGGAGACCCACCTACACACCACTGCACTCTAACTCCCCACCGTCAAGGTGTTTAATAATAGAGCTTGATCTAAATGGCAAACAGACAGTTGGTCATACAGGTGTCTTCTTGGGAGGGCAAAATGAGGGTGCCCACTGACTGACAGGTGTGCTGTTCCAAAGGGTAATGACCCAGAGGAAGAAAGTATTCCCACACGAAAACGTGTTTTACAGGATTTTCACTAAATACATATGAGGATACATATTTTTGTTAACAGATATTCCAGAGTAGCTGACTTCGTCTTTTTTGAAATAGAAAGACTTTAATTGTTTTCCTCCATGCACTTCCTACATCCAATTGTCTTCTGCAGCACCCTGAGCACAGTCTTACCCCAGCTTTCCACAGCAGCCGTCAGCAGCACGTTACTGCAGCAGCACGTCATAGCTGCTGATAGGAACCGCTGTGGTCAACAGAACCTTTTCCACTGGAGGCGTCAGCAGCGCGAGTCGGCCGCGTCTCAGGAGCAGCATGTCGCGGCCTTTACGCGCCGGTTCTATTTTCTACGCACGACACCTCTGAAACGGGTCAAGTTCGACATTTTTGGGGAAGGAAAGACAGGAAATCGGACGCGGAAATGGAGAGAATCTACCGAGATTTTCAGAATAAAGAACTTACTGCCTTCCGGTTGCTTTACTTTTAAAAAACGTTACTAACTTTGCGTCCCCGTGAGAAGTTATCACCTAGCTAGCGGTCTCCTTTGTTTTTCAGGTCCGTATTGGCGATTATAAAACGGACAGAACATGAAACACAAACCATGTTGTCGTTTTCTCCTGCTTGTTGTTGTGTTTACTGACGAAGTCACTCGTGTGACTTCGTGCTCGGTCGGTGACAGCTGCTCCCCTGCTGCTTCACGTCTCGTGGGAAGGGCCAAGCAGCAGCTCACGCAAGCAAGACGTGCTGCTGCAGTAACGTGCTGCAGACGGCTCCCGTGGAAACCCGGGGTTAGATTTCTGGACTTTGACAGATCATCAAGAAAAAAAAAGTCTTGGAAAATATACCTTGAACCCTTACATAATCTATACCTAAATGAGATGCACAAAGCCTTTGCTGCTTTGGATTGGAACTATTTTTGAGAATTACAGATTTTATAAAGAAGGCAAACAACACACGAGTAACGTCAAACCTGTCACTTGGTTTGGAAGTAATTAGTTCATTTGTTTCTTTCTTTTTTTTCTGGTGGAGGATGAACAAAAGGCGGGACTATTGTGTTCTGTTCTCAGATTGAGTTGCAAATGCTGCTGTGTGTCAGTTGATGTTCCAGCATGCATGCATTCCTGTATTATTACCATAGCCTTGTAGCATCATGTTTCATCTCACTTAAGAGCAGCAGCATCTGGATCGACATTAAACATTAAAAAGCACACACTGTGAGACAGTATTCACTCAGTTTTCCTCATTAAATATTCATTGATCTGTCTTAAAACTTTTTATCCTTATGTGATGCTGGTGCTTCCTCCAGTTTTCTGAGTGAGTTCCTGTCGGTATGTAAACAAGTTACTGGGTTTCATTTGGGACTGGGAAGTGTTTGATGGGAGCATGGCAATTGTCTTTCCTGCATGCTTAGCCAAAATATAAATAGAAAACATGCTGAAATATGATTTAATTCATGATACAAATACTAAAAAAAGACATTTCCCCCAAATATGGTTTAAAATTTTACTTAAAGCTGCAATAGCAAATCTGCAAACAAGCTAGCTTTTAAACACTAACACGGTCACATGACTCTCATTCCTCCCGTTGGCCATCACCCCCAGGCCACGTACGCCTGATACCAAGTGCCAAACACCAGTGTCTGTTTTGTAGGTCCAAAAGTCTTTTGTGGTCCGTGAATTTAACTGGTGTTTTTCTTTTTAGGACTAATTTGTCCTGAAGTTGAAGTGGTAGCAGCCGGCTGTTTCTCCTCTGATATTATTAAGCAGAAAACATTTAACACCAGCGGTGTTCTGTTGCAAGCACGTAATGAATGGAGGACCCAGGTGAATGCAGAAGTTCAGCAGTTCGGTGAGACAGACAGCTACACGGTCCAGTCTTTGGTTTCGGACCAAGCTGTTGCTGAGGTTTTTAGACAAATGTATGAGAACCACTTCATTTATTTTTTTTATCTCCACAGTATATTAATAGCTGTAGTTTGTTAGAATGTTAAAAGGCCTGGAAACAATGTTTTAAGCTCGTTTAGCAGATTTGCCATTGTAGCCATAAGATGTCACTCTCAGTCTGAAGTAATTATTGCTAACAGTGTGTTTGCCTAATGATCATATCTAGCTTTGCTGTTCTAACATCACTTCACTACAAGTTTGTGAGTCAGGGATGTTTGCAATAATAGCACTATTAAATGAAATAATTAGACATTAATGCAAAAAGTTGTAGGTCTTATAGCTTTAAACGTAGCACTATGTGCTTGTGTTTTTTTATAACTTGGTAAATGACTGTCCCTGAGTCAAAATGTCATGTGGTGTTGGGTTTCAAATAAGTTCGCAAACATAAATTGGAATGAATTTTTTTAAAAGCACAAAACATGAAAAAAAGAAAAGTTCTGGCCTTGGAAGGTTTGATTGTATAAGTCAAGTGCTTTACCAGACTTAAGTAAAGATACTTAACGAGTGAAACATGCAAAAATATTTTCAAACAGATATGTGGTTAAGATGCTTTAATCTACTGGCTGTTATTGGTTGGTGATCAGGCTTAGTCACAAAAATATCACAAACAAAAGAAAATAAGAAGTATTGTGACAAATCCATGAAATGGATGTTCTGATCATGTTTTTTTTTTTTTTGCCCCAGATCCAATTCAGAGTCATTTGATTTTAAGAATCTGCCGATATTGAGTCCCAAGCTGATACTTTAGAAATGCATTAAGAGAAAAGGAGAACACACTAGAGTTGTCCTTTAAGCGTTTAAAAAAAAATTAATTCGTTTCTTTCTTTCTGTATTTGTTAGACGTGCAACAAATTAAAAAACTCACGGTTGAGATCGTATCAGTTTTCAGTTATGGACTGGATCATTCTTCAGATCGGCAGAAGAAAACAAAAAAAGGAAATAACTTTGCTCTCTTTATTTTGTAGAACACTCACTGCAAAATTTCTCCGCTCAATTTCTACCTTGCTGTATACAATTGGAGGTACAGTGGAGTCAGATTGCTGATTAAATGTATAAACAGCTTGCCATAGACTGCTTACTCCCTGCGTGTCCTGCGGTCACAGATTTCCTCACCTTTCTGAAGTGCTGTTAAGTTTTCTTTCCTCCTCTTTTACAGATTTGTCTCCACCAATATTTACAGGTCCCACCGTGTTAATGTAAAATTGCACAAGGCATTCTGCGTAAGCCAGCCCCCCTCCCTAAAAACAGCAATCGGAGGTGTTTGCATGCAGCACTGCACTTTTAGGCTGGAGGCACGTGTGTGCGTGTGTTCATTTTTGTAGTTTATATCAGTAATATCTTTTACAGAGAAGCCCAGACGCTCAAGCTCCTCTCCCACTCCCTAGCCATGAACACCACTGTGCTTTTCTTGTTTGGATTGAACAGGTGGCACATCGGCCCTCCACGTGCTTGCCGAACCGTTGAGAGATCCGTGGAGATCACGGATCAGTGATGATCCGTTGCACCCCTAGTATTTCTTTTATTTAGTTAATCTGCAATAAAACATCACTTGTTTAGGAAGTACTTTAATAACAAACATGCTAATATTAAGAATATGTGTAAAAGTAGCCTTGTTGCTCATATTTCAAATAATTTACTCAGTGTGCGGCTGTTTTGAGCGACAGGGATGGCATGAGACATGACGTCAGCAGCAGGGTCACTTCTTTCTACAAAACACCTTTAGAGCTCCTGCATCTGTTCAGTTGGGAAGAGAAAGCAGATCAGGCCACGACGCAAGGAGACTGCAAAACTTGTTTGCAACCACAGACGCTCATCCAGTGTGAACTGCTATCTTGGCATTTTTGCTGTGTGTAGACAATTTCCTTTTTCTTAACATGTCTTTTATTTGTGTCAGCTGGCTTTGTGTCTGTTCTAAAATGCATCTAAATTACAGACATTTTCTCTGTCTTGAGGTGACTAGTATGTTCTGCGTTGGAAATGTTGTTTTATATGGTTAAATCCCGATTTTTTTCCAACCTGATTCTGATCTATTCAAAATCTTGTGATTGGATTGGAGCATCCCAAGTCTACACCCATAATACAGCACTTCATTCTACCAGTGATTCATAAACTATGATTGACAAGACGTACTTTGTATGAGTCTGTTTTTACTAAAGAAATATTCTGCTTATTCTGTCTTCAGTCTTAACAATAAAAATCTAAAACCATTAGTTTAAAGTTCACTAGTGCTTCTAGTGAATTT